AAGAGAAAACTAAATGATGAAAAATGTAATTATAATTCTAATTAGATTTGCGACAATGAGTATGCGTACATTTTTTTATTAATTTTAAATATTAATTTATGCTTTAAATCCTAATACATTGCTAAAATAAAAGTTGTATTATTATAAAAATCATTTGTTAATAAATCTTTTTATTCATATAAAAAAACAGCATACTCTTATATATTAATTTTATAAATATATGTTGCACGAACACTTTTATTTCTATCTAAAAACATCTCTCGTAAAGAATTCAAACTAGACATTTTTGTATTATCTTTATAGCCTCAGCGTGTATTGTGATAAGGTAAAAGGTGATAATGAGTTATAATTTGATAAGCGATACACATTGCAAAGAAAAAAGATACAAAATATTTTATTGAGTAGAAAGAATATCGCGCGATAAAAGAGTCTTTGCGCTCACTTGTTCACCGGCAGGTCACCTGCGCGTCACCTGTGCGTCATCACATAGTTAGCCTCCAGCTATTGACAAAGACGCGCGCAATAATAGATAGACCTAGACTATACCGTAATATAAAACTAATAACGATGAAAACAATACTCACTCGTTGGGATTGTATTAGAAGGGAAGGAGAAATGTCGTTGTGCGGTACCAATAGCCGGTGTATTCAAAGGAAGCTGCTGATCCCCGTGGTGGTTGCTTTACCGGTGGATTATCACACGTGCACGTATACGGAGAGAGGCGAGAGGGGGAAATAGAGTAGGTAGTAGAGGTCGCAAGGGGGCTAGTGGGGTGATGAGGTAATAGAGGGGGGAGATGGGGGACCAACTACAAACTACTGAGTGTCCCTCCTATGTTCTGGATCACATCTCAACGGATGATAGTGTCACCACCTTCTTCATAGACCGAGGCGTCCGATGTTCTGGCGAATTCGCTGTTGTCGGGACTACTCTTCTCTCGAGGGCACCCTTCTTCGGGGGCCCGCTGGTCTTCCTCGCTTGGTTCCTCTCGTTTTTTCGTTGATGAAGCCGTTGGTCCCGCAAAATATTTCGGTAAGAAGCTTTACCTTTTGATCCGCGTCGTCTGATCACCTGATATCACAATCGCGATTCATTACGCACACATCGTTACATAGACATTTCTCATGTTCGAGCCTTAAACATCACTTTTCGGTCAATCTGTGTTCGTTCCTACGGACGTTTTCCTAGGACGTTTTTGATCATTAGCGAATTCACGCTCGTAAGAACCTTATCGTCCGTGTCCTGCTTGCACTTTTAATCGCATAATCGCGCACCGGCTTCACACACTTGCACGTTCACGCGCGCGACACGATGACGACGACGCACATTTACCGTCGCGTACAATCACTAAAAAACTTGGAACTAAGTAATTGAGATTTTCCTCTTGAAATTGGGTCGTTTTTCGAAATATATTCACTTAATCGAATTCACCGCAGCAGTGACCGTTCAAAACTTCAGATTGGACCCCGAAACTCAGCAGCTTCACAGTGCTGTCTCGGATCGTTCTTTCGCCTCTCGAGAAACGGCAATATGGCCGTCGCTACCTCCTCCCAGCATCACGCTGTTAGCTCCGTGCCTCGGATTCCCCCCTTCCACTTGTGTTTCACACACGCTCGCGCGTCTCTCTACGTCTTACCCCTCCCGTCTCTTTCTCTCTCCCACTCGTCTCTGTTCTCATGTTTTCCGTCTACGGCCTACCAGCCTCCCTCGCTCCAGAGCTTCGTCCTCCTCTCCTCACTCTCGCTCTTCCGTTTACTTGTCCGCCGCATAACGCCTTCCCCTCGAGACTATCTCCCTTCGGCGTGAATTTTTTTATTTCTCTTTCTCTTTCTTCCGTTCACCGTTCTTAGCCCTCCCATTTCTAGATGGAGAAAGACGAAGAGATTGGTGCAGGACTCTCAAGCTCAAGCGAGCCATCGTTCCTCTCTTTCTTACGCCAAGTATTCTCCCAAGAGAGACGATGAGAGTGGTCGACTGAGTGACGATCACGAAGAGCAAGTGGATAAGAAACACGATCCAGGGAAAGAGAGAGAGAGAGAGATTGTAGGTGCAGGTAGACTCTAGTGGAGGTGCGCAGGTAGCGACGCAATAAAGATGGACTCGGATCTCGCAAACGAGTGCAACCAAGACAGAGCATCATCTTCGCGAGTTCTACGTACAGAACATCGAACACAAACAGAACATCGAATCATCAACAAGGCAAGATTCTGACCACCCGGTATTATCGTTTCTATAGTCATCTCTCTCCAGTGTGCTGCTTCTTCATCTCTTCCGCTCCTTCATCTCCTCAACCGCCTCCCGAGAGGGATACCTGATGTTGCTACGGGAGGAACGAAGACGATCGCAGTGTACGCACACGTGCATCGCGTATCTCCGTTCAGCTTCACTCGGGCTCTCTCCTCTTCTTTCTCCTCACCTTCTTTTTCTCTTTCTCTCTCTTTCTTTTCTGTTCTCTCACTGACTCCGAACCGCCTTGCTAACTTGAGAAAGATACACGCGATCGATGGTCCAAGCGGAACAAAGACGGCAGCAGACATACGTATGCGTTATCGCTGGCGTCTCGACGTCCTTCTTACTCCGGATTTCATCTTCGTATCTCTCTATCCCACTCCGACTTTACTACCTTGAGAAGGGTACCGCGAAGGGGAGGAACAAGAAGGAGGACACGCACACGTAAGATTATCGTATCTGAGCCGTAGCCTCCGCTTCTCTACCCCTCTTCTTTCCTTGCCCTTCTCGCTTCGATTTTATAACGCTCGCTCTTTATCTTGCCACCTTGAGAAGGATATCCACATACCAAACCGTATCCAAAAAGGATATCTAATAGAGGGACGTAAAGTCATCTCGCCGAACATACACACTGAATAGACATCGGCAGATGTCTCATCAAACGGAAAGATATCTTAGGTACATCTAAGTTTTGTTTTTCAATAGCATTTTTTTACTTGGCCTATCGTTATGCGCGCTATAAAGAAAGCCTCTGCCTGGAATTATCCGCCTCGGATGATTGAAGCATCTTCCCGAGTCATCGCGCGAAGCAGCATGCATACGCACACATAAAAATTCTCTTCTCTCATTTCTCTCGCCGAACAAACGCGATGGTCGAAAGAGAGAAGAAGAAAAAAGAAGAAGAAAAAGAAAGGAGAGAAAGAACGAGAGCTTTTTCTTTATGGAGAAGAGAGCTCTATCGTCTCTTCTCTTCATCTTTTCTTTCCACCGCCATTGCGAGAAGAATATTAGCAGAGGAGATTCGCCAATGGTGTGACAAAGAGAAGAGATACGTTCATATGTATATATGTATGCTCGATTGATTCTCTCTTATACGGGACACGCGGCAAGAGACGTCTATGCTGGACGCCGGATGCCGAAGAGAGCGAAGCTGCTGCCGGCGCTGCCGACATAGTCGCGCGAACGGAGATGGACTCGGGACCGAAAGAGCGAGAGATTCGAAAGGGGGGTTGCGGAGGGAGGGAAAGTGGAAGAGAGGAGGGCGTGTGCGTGAGTCCATGATGCGACGGAGAGGAGGGATAAAGAAAGAGAGAAAGAGAGAGAGAAGAGAAAAGGAGAGGCCGCGGAGCGACGAAGAGAACGGGCGTTGGCTACGCGCACGAAGGGAGATTAAAAGAAGAAAAAGAAGAAGATGGAATTAAAAGAGGAAAAAAGGGGAGAGTCGGGAAGCAAGAGGGAGGGAAAGAAAAAGGGGGAGGGAGGAACATGGGAAGGGAGAGGGGGGAGAGAGAGAGAGAGAGAGAGAAGAGAGAGAGAGAGAGAGAGAGAGAGAGAGAGAGAGAGAGTAGAAGAGAGAGAGAGAGAGAGAAGGAGAGGATTTAAGTAGAGAAGAGATTTAGGGAAGGAAATTTTGGAGAGGAAGTTTTTAGAGTAAGTTTAGAGAGAGAAGAGAGAGAGAGAGAGAAGAGAGAGAGAGAGAGAGAGTAGAAGAAGAAGAGAGAAGAGAGAGAGAGAGAGAGAGAGAGAGAGAGAGAGAGAGTAGAGAGAGAGAGAGAGAGAGAGAGAGAGAGAGAGAAGAGAGAGAGAGAAAGAGAGAGAGACCTCGTGAAAAATGGGCACCCAGCGAGAGAGGACAGCCTCAGGCTACATCGCACGATGCGACCCTGCTCAGGGAGGGATTCGTTCCTCGTTTGTGAACTCCGAACGCGCTGCGTATGTGGATCCGATCAAATCGACGCGTTTAATTGCTCGTAGCTTAGTCTGAGCATTTTTCTCGAACGTGAATTTTGAAAAATACGACCCGTCTAGATCGATATGGATTTCTCGGATTGCGCTGACTTTTCTTTCCAATGATAGCTAAACGTGATATTTTGCGTGTGAAGATAATTTGAACTCGCACATCTCATTCCGTGGGAATCGTCGCGATCTTCACATACTTATATGCAGCATGGGTGGCTATGCACATATTTGCGTAGGTGGACCAAGTGGCCGGAGCGGAAGAGACGAAGGGAGAGAAATGACGATTTCTGAGAGGGGTGAAACCCCATGTAGCTTGATATATTTCTTTTTTGACCGATTTCTTAGATACATTTTTGCGGTCCACGGTATATTTGCATAGTGAACTATAGGCGCAAGTATAATTGATAAACATAGATAGAACTAATTGGCAAATCATCTTTCAGTATCAATCGTTCTGTCGGTGAAGCATCGATTCTGGACAAACCCGCGTTACACGTCGCGGCTTTCTAACGTCGACCTCGTGAAAGCAGATCAAAGTCCGATCCTCGGCGAGAAAATCCCTCTCTATTCATCGTATCTATCGACGCGCGCGCGTAGTCGTAAAGTCGCCTTCCGCGCCCACCTTTCTGCTGTATATCTTTCATGCCGACGGGATAAAATGTTCACACCGGCTACATACTTACAGATTCCAAAGCGTGTCGAAAAGCGTGCGAGGAAGTATCTATATCAACCTGATCAAAGACAAAGTTTGCTTTTGGAGTAACGATATGTAGGTTCTCGTTCTTTTCTCGTTCTTTTAATAGTTCACCACCATCCTTTGAACCATTATGTAAAATATTGCGTAAGATCTTTGCTCTCGCAGACAGAAATGTTTTTATTAAAGAATACCTCAATTTATTAAGTTATATACTATTTTGATGGCACAATCTAGAAAATGTTTAAAAAAGAAAGATATCTTTTCATAATTTATTATATATGTTTTTGCAAGAGTAAAATTGCCGCTAGTATTCGAGAAGGGGTTAAAGTTGCGCGCGGTCGTGAATACATCATATGCTCATTTCAGCAGAAGCATCCACGACGATTCTGTCGTAGGTCGCGTCAGCCGTAATTACGCACATCCCTCTGAATGCCCGCCGACGTGTTATTATCGGTGAAATGCGAGTTCTCCTTGGCAAAACGATCATTTGTCACGTATGCTAGGATGGAAGAAGCGAAGGGCGCAAAAATCATGTTCGGTTCATTATAGTCTTAGTGTTTTTGCGTGTTTTCCACCTCTTCACATTTAGCACTATATGAAATCTTCAATTCTTGTTTGAATTTTCGTCCTTCTATTTTTCTGACAACTGATGACATTTGACTTGTCAAATGGTTCAACATAAAATGATTTCACAAGTTAACAATAGAATATGATAGTTTCAAGAAACAGCTAATTTATAAAAGAAATGGACCTGTTGAGTCTAGCTTAAATAAATTTGTAAGAAACTTGTTTTTGATTTTACGAGTAGGATATATAATATAGTGTAGGAAACAGACAAACAAAGTCAATGGGGATTCGAATTCAGGATCTTTCATTTGTTACAATAGCACAGTAGTTATTCGATCACGATTGTTTCCAACGAAGTCGTCAATCTTCTATCAATATCTAATTGATCTTTACGATCTTTTATTTTCTACAATAGTTATATAAATTAATTACTTCAAATCTTTAACATACGTGTGTGAAAAATGTCTGCTAAAAAGATATAAATACCTATAACATTTACAACAATTCTTATGCGAAATAATAAAAATATCGAAAGAGTTATATCTAATGACACGTTTTTCAGTTAAATTTTATTCGTAAAAAAGCTATTTGTTTTACTGTTCTAATTACTATCATTACGCGTAGACGCAACATCATCGAATAAATTAACAGTATAGCCCAGATTCCGACGAATCTATGGCGCCTTGTTTCGAGGCCGCATCTCCGGCTAAGTAGGACCGACCGGCGATGCGCCGAGTGCGGTCATCGAAGTCTCCGGGCGAGATTCGGTGCGACGCAACACGATGCTCTGCGCGGGCGTTGAAGTCTCCCGTACCTCGTTGTTAAACGGCGGCGCTCGTAAGCGCGCATAATGGTTCTTAACCGGTTCACCCGGGATTCATTCAGAGAAACGTCAATGTTGCATCTATTCACGTACGCGTACCTACACGTACGTGTACACACGTGCGCGCCTATAGATCGTCACTACCTGTTCGCTGAGAGAGACCGGTCAGTTCTTGTCGGTTGTGCTCACCAAAGCAAATACCGGTATGTTTACGTCTGGATATAAAAATGCAGCGAGGTAAACGAAAGAAGCGACCGCGGTATATATGTGTACGTGTGTGTGTGTGTGTGTGTGTGTGTGTGTGTGTGTGTGTGTGTGTGTGTGTGTGTGTGTGTGTGTGTGTGTGTGTGTGTGTGTGTGTTCCGAGATTGATTCCTGGACGTGATTTATCAGGATTATTTCGCGTAAAGTGTACTTCTCATTTTTGTTTCCTCTTCTTATTTTTATTATATGTTTTAAGCACTGCTTCTTTACAATAATCTTTTATTTATATATACAGTTGTATATATTTTATAAAGTAATATGCAATTAAATAGAAGAAATATATATGTGTATAATATTATGACATTATTTTCTATCCTTAATCTTAGATAAGCTGTTTAGTTAAAGGAACTTAATAAAAAAAAGCTTTTTACAAAAATACAGACTACTTAGCCGCGATATACATTCCGCTTTGCGGGCAAAACAGAATTTTTGTTCACTATCGAGAAGTAAATAATTTAAAATGCTAACCTGGCTGATCGGAAAGTTCTGTCCGGCTATCTAATGCTAATTAAATGCTGATGTAAAAAATAAATCTGATTTATCCTGTCGATAATTATATTCCAACGACCGGCTTACAAATCGACGTGCGCACGTTTCTTATGCTTGCTCGCGCGCTCATATCGCGACATAAAAGAATTCTGAGCACGAGAGATTGGCGGCAGGAAGCGCAGCAATGGCGCTCGTGATAACGGTATCGAAAGTGTTACGCATACGAGCATGAGCAGCCGGGCTCGTACATTCGCGAGGTTAAACGCGCATTTCGACGATGCGTCGCGCTTCATTCGCGTTGTTGCGAGCGGCTTAGGCAGATTTCATACAGGTGATTGTCATAGTAAAGCCGTTGTATATATTATTCTTCTAAAATTTGCATATATTATTTCCTGTATTATTGTTTTGAAACTTGTTGAATAAAACTTACAATTTAGTCAGGCGAATGTTTCATAAATAAAATATATATTAATATAATAAATATATTAATTCATTTTTAAAGTTATAATTCTAATAATATTAATAATGTTATATTTATATTTTTTTAAAAATCTTTCTTGTATATCATAAATTTGAAACGTTTAATTGATAAAACAAAGGATATCCCACTTCATTATTTTTTACAGAGATTATTAAACAAATATTAATTAATTTTTGATAATTCATCTTTGAATAAACCTGCAAGTGAATAATCCAAGATTTGTGCAAATACGGTTTTATATATGCCGCGATAGAAACGCGCGTCTAGAAACACGTGTGTTTAAAGTTCCTCTCTAATTTACCGTAGCGCCACTAATCAGTCGTCGTGGAAAATTTATTCTCGCGAAATATCGCGGCGTTGCACGTGAACACATCTTCGTATAAACCCATGCGCCACTGAAGTGGCGTTTATCGTCTGGTACGTCGTTACGGGAGTCCTGTAACGATTACCCGTGAACCACTGCGTCCACTGGCGTGCAAGGATAATAATTGCCTAGCGCGGACAATAAGTTGATCATCATAACAATCAGACATGTTTCGTCCTCAGAGTTACTGTTGAAGAAATGTATTATGGAAATTTTGAAGAGACCATACAATTTAGGTATAAAAAGACATTTCTATAGCCCTTCATAAAATTCACTTATTTCTTCTAACAAGAAAAAAATACCTAGAATTTTGTTAAGTTCTTTTAAAAGTAAAATATTTTTTGTGAAATATTTTTTGCATAGAAGATAAATATTCAAAAGATAATAAAATGATAATAAAAGATATAAGGGAACAATTTTTTAAGTATATTTTATATTCTGCATTTTCTAGGTGAAACTTCCATTCTGCTTGATGGTTTTTTTTATTTCCTACTCTTGGCCTTGAGATGTTTGAATGAATTGCCACATTGAATGTACAACAATTTTGTTAATGGCGCACTGTTGTCCCTTGACTAAGCGCCTACGTAATATTGCGAAGATGTGTCTGATGTCTGATAAATTTCATCAGTTATTACGCAATTGAAACTGCGCTTAAGATGCGCACGTATTTAACGTTAATGCTGCTTGTTTTTATATTTGACTGAATGTTTTTATCTTAATATTCATCTATGTATTTTTAATTCTGTCGTGAGAAAAAAATTTCTGAAAATTTCTGAAAGTCAAGTTTATAATACAAGGCCGGCTGTATTTTATAATTAATTATATCGAATGATATATTAATATTTACTTTAGACAAAATCTAAAAATGCAATGTATATATAATTTAATGTCAATTAATTCAATATGAATTTTATGAATACACATTTAATTCTGATTAACTGTACCGTACTGTCATTATTACAATGACAGTTTTTTTTATGAATGAATTCCCCTATTTCCCCTATTTCCCCTATAATATTATAACTTCTCAAGTTTATTTCTTAAGTTGAGATATGATGCATAAAATTATTGCGCTTTAAACGTGGAAATAATGTATTTAATAATATTTATGTCGGAAACTGATCTGGTAGAAATCGATGTGCCATCCGTAGTGCGCAAACGAGACATTGACAAAACGAATCCAAATC